ACGGCTGCATTACTTGTGCGCCTGGAGCATCCTAGGATGGTTTTCGCTGCTTTCATCTGCGCCGCCTCGAGTTCTTTCACTACCTTCTTATTTCCTTCCCATACTTCTCCGGCGTACTCTAGTGGCGGTACGATTACGCTCTTCAAAACCGTCAATTTGATGCGTGTATCGAGGTGCCAGGGGGGAGGGGAAGAATTTGGTCGTTCGTAGTCCATGCCTCCATTGTCAGACGAAGCAGAACTCTGCTTCAATGTTAACCCTAGATATGCCCTCGAGTCGGTCCGTTGTTGCCACAACGCATGGCGACAACGCAAGTGTCCCCTTAGTACCAGGTGCATTGTACATTTTCTTAAGCTAGTTTGCTTTGACTGCTGCTGCTTCCGCTGTTACACGTCCTCACCTCTACGTCTGGATGAGAACCGTATGCCACTCCGATCCGGCAATGTCTCTCGATTGCCCTTGACGAGTGAAAACAGCGATTGCCGGCAATATCCACACGGTGTGAAGCACACACAAACCAAAGGGTGGGGGACGTCAGCGTTTTTCATGTCAGCGTTTTTCATGTCAATGCTTAGCAGATCATCATCAGAGGAAAAAACGCAATTATGAGCTGGGAAATGTCTTGGTTGGAGGGAAGACGTTGACAATGCACACCTTCGAGATAGCACGTGGTCTCTCTTAGTTCTGCTGGTAGCAATGCAGCAGCAAGGTTCGGACGTTCTCGGTGGTGCTAAAAGCTGCTCGGTACCATACAACCCTGTTTTATCTTTCTCCTCCATATATATATATATATGGTTGAACGGCAACCAATACCAGTCAGTGTGAAGCCGCAGAACCCTTCAGCGATACCAGCCTGCGCTCAGCAGGATCGTCGCCAAGAGCAGTAGACACGAACAACGTCAAGTATGGCCCCCCCACATCGATACCCGGTGAGAAAACCAAGACCTTACGACGAAAAAACCAACGGCCCGTACCAAACCTCGACGTTGTGCGCCTCACACAATGGGCTGTCGAAACAGGAACATGAACATGTCCTGTATATAGACACAGTCTACATGCCTGAAGATCTCCCAACCCCACTCCCTGTACACCGGATCTCCGGTGAGCTGGTGCAGCACGAAGAAGCTCTCCAGGGTCTCGGGCCTGAGGATGTAGAAGCGAGCCTGGTCGCGGGCCCTCATGTCTCCCGCTCCGTTGAACTCTACAACCTCGGGAGAGAGGCCGGTGGCGGTGCGGAGGTACATCTGGTAACAGGTGTACGCTAAGGCCTGGAATCGGCGTATTGGTCGAAGAAAAATAGAGTGGCGGTTGATGACAATAATCCCAAGTTGATGGTGCGGTCGCCGACGGAGTAGAGTGGAGAGGGTCGAAAGAAGGTCTGTTCTGGGGGAGAATTGACCCAACCTCACCTCAAACCCCTCGTCGTACCCCGCGCAAAGAACCTTGCAACCGGCGTCTTCTGGGAGATGGACGATACTTTGAAGTTCAAGAAACTAGCGAAAATGAGCCTTTAGCTCAGAAGCTATTGAGAGTGCGAACTCGCAATCAATTAATGATTTCCAGCGATGCATGCAACGGCGTGTTTGTGCTGCTGCTGCTGCTTCTGCTGCTGCTGCTGCTGCTGCTGCTGCTGCTGCCGTCGTTATTGTTGTTGTATTTAGTAGTCATCGTCGCCCATTCTCCCGTTATTGCTCAGACAACACTCGCCTTTCCAGTCCTCAGATCCCTCGCTGCCCCTCGTGAGTCTGGTGAGGTCATGGCACCGAGAGCCAGGTTCCCCGCCAAGAAGCACGCGAGATGGTCCATCCGATGCTGCCGCCTCGTACCGTTCCACTCGCTGAGGTACGTCAGTCCGCGGGCCTGGATGCCAGCACGGCAGGTGGGGTGCAACAAGGTAGTGCAGTAGGGAGAGATGAGGGGAGGGACGAGTAAAACGAGAGAAAGGACGACAGCGAAAGCAAACAACGACAAACATCTTTTCTAACAAACAGGACTTAAACGCATTTCATCAGCAGCGCCGGCAAAGGCGGCCCTCCCTATGGTACCAGCAAGTAATATGGCCCTCCCCCCAGTGAGGACAAGGACGAGTTATCGACGACGGCGTTGTGGTGAAAAGTAACTCCGGTTGGAGTCGAGGTATGAAAGTTTTACCGGAAACAGTAGCGTGTGTCGAAGCTTTTTCTTGTGGTGAGGATGACAGTTGAGTTGTAGGCGGCAGGAATCGTGCACCAAAGGGTCTTGATTGTCTGCCAGGCAGGGAGGCATCCCCAGATTGATGGGAGAGGTTCGGACGGTCGCACCTTCTGGACGAGGAGCTCCGCTACACCGTCCATGGCATCTTCGTACATCCTGCGGTAGCTCTCTTCTCGACGGCCTCCCTGCATCCACACCTTCAACAGGTACTCGTAAAACGAGTCTCCCAAGGCCCCAAAGGTAACCTGAGAAGGCAAAGAAAGCTCGAAGAAACAGTCGAGTGACGCATGGGGATGGTGTGAAGAGCGAAATATTCGTGCGGATGTGGAACCCGGCATTCGGATTGAAAGCAGCAGGGTACATGTACTGCTGCCTTTCGAAGTGATATATACCTATTCGATCCGCATCAATCATCATTTTTACTTTAACGTGCCGTAGGAGAGTGAATAACTTGCACGTCTGGCGATATGTTCACTCTTTTTATTCTGGGGTCACTTGCCTGGGATGAAGTGAATTTTCCGGTGTTGGGGTTAATCCGAATCGGGTAAAGACCGTGTGGCACTGTTCTTCCAGCCAGAAAGTCGAACGCACGCATCGCCTGGCCAAATCATTGACAAACGTCGGTGTTGGCTGTGAGTGTGTAATCTTGTTGGTTGTTGACGCGATGGCTTTTCAGTACTCTTGGTCAGTTCGTCCAGATCCTTATTTAGGAAAAAACAAATTGACATTATCTCTGGCGGTGTGAGGATCAGACATGGAGACATCTTTGCCACATGCTTCCGTAGCAATGAAACCTTCAAATCACCACCAAATGATCCATTGCACAGCTCGAGGTAAAGACGGGGTTCCGAACACCGTTGGTCGAGTCCCAATTGCGTCAACCAGTTCGCGTAGTGGCCACAAAGCACGCTCACCGTTCTGGCGTACTTCTCGTCTCCCACCTCGTGACTCAGATATCGGAACTCCAACTGAGATGTTGTCGAGGGTAAAGGCAACAATAACATGACGAAGACTGGATCCGTTTCGAGAGGGGCCAAGGGTGTTTTGATTGTACTACAAGCCCGCGCTCGACCGAGATACCGCGCCACACTGAGAATTTGGTGGCACGACGCGACGAGGATCCAGGACAAAATGTCGTCGACGTCGTCGCCATCACGTTGGCGTTCGCCCTACAACAATACCACCCATGCATACGGCCATTTCACATGATCGAGGTTTTCCAAGAAGAATAGCCCCTAGAAGCACGAACGATACCCAAGGCAACGTCGCCACATGCTCGTCGTGGTTGAAATATCGGCTGCGCTTGGATCATTGATGTTCCCCGAAAGTGGGAATCCGTCACGTGTTCCCGCACGTGCTCCATTCGACGACATGATGGCGGTGCGAACGCCACAACACGCACCTGAAGAGTGCCCAACTCGGAGAGTACGCTGTAAGAGCCCCCGCCTGTCTTCCCGTTCGAAAGGTTCACCTGTAACACCGCAAGAAAGGCAACAGGGAATATCACGTCGTCGTCGCTTTCTCGACATCACGCACTTTCTTTCGAAACCAAGCAACATTCAGAACAGATTCCATCTCCATGCTGGTTCTGCCTTGTTATTATACGATAACGTCTTGCTCTCCTTATCACTCTCCTTCAGCATCAAATTCTGCAGAATGTTTTCCTTTCACAAACAAACGTGGCGTGCTACAGAATAAACTCGCGTCTATTTTCCCCTCTCGAGATTGTCCCGGTACGTGTCGGGGAGGCCGGTTTCCGGAAGCCAATACCTTCCGGGAGCTCATTGGAACTCATTCCGTACAGGTCTTCACTCGGAGACATCCTTGAAATCAGTATGTATGCCCCGACAGCAGTAGTTCTTTTACATTTTCATATGTCTGCGCTTGTGTGCTGTTCAACGTGTTTGTCTTTCCCGCGGATCTGTTGCTTAAGCTCTCGACAGCCAACCTTCACGGTAGGAATGGCACCAACTGACCAGTTTGTACGGGATCCCGGTAGAGGTTCCAAAGGCTGGCAGAAGTCTATCCGCCAAGTCCTTCGCGCGCTCCAGAAACACCTGCCACAACATTGTTGAGTGGGTGATTACAGCTTATACGCCATGAATAAGAACAATTATTCTACCTAGCTTTCACAAGTTTCACTTATCTTAGCGTGAAGCAACGGAATACAACGTAACAAGGTTACATTGGAGCTACGGTGTCCTGCCGTGCTGCTGAACTCTCAACATGGTGTGAACGTTCCTGACTGCTATTGCGAAAAGTCACTTGGGCGAGTGGAAGATTGTTCGGTAGGCGGTCTACAGAGGTGGCGGAACGTGTCCGAGCAATGGTGGCAGCAACAACATGGACAATAACACGATAGCGACAACATATGGTCTAATTGCTTCAAAGACCGCTATGAATGAGGGAGCGCGACATATGGAAGAGGAGAACTGAAAACAAATGGAAGGAATCACGCTATTAGATAGATTGTGGGCACCAGGGCTGCAACTGATGGTGAAGTAATGGTCGCAACATCTCGGTCAAAGTGACAAAACACCACTGCATAGCAGCCGACACATGGTTCAGACTCGGCACGAAGAGAGCCACGACAGGCACGTGGAGGCAAAAAGTGAAACTGCCCGGCCGGGTGGAATGAAACTTGCCCCCTTACCTCGTCTCTGGACAGCTCAAAAGCGGAGAGCAGCCCCCCAAGCACCCTTATCGTCGTCTCAAAGACGCTCACCATCCCGACTTCATTGAACGTCAGGTGGTCTCGAACCCAGTCCCTGCGTCCATACGTGTAAGCGCGTCGCAGGAACGCGTTTGAGTAGGGGCGGAACACCAACCGGTGTTGTCGCCGTTGTGGCCGACGGTTGTCCAGGTGGCCAATTACTTGAATGAATATGTTAGGCCCTGAAAGGTCTGTACCGCACGGCATGACTGAGAAGAAGGTGCATGCTACTGCTTCATTCGAAAAGTGAAACGAGGTGTGGGTCTGATTGTCCACGTGACAACCGCAATACTTGAAAGAGTTGACGGCTGACCACATACCCCATGTGAGTACCGCTGAACTCCGAGAGAAATGGAAATAAGCAACCATGCAAGCGATACGAGCACTGGCGGATGCCGAGCATGGAAACATTCGGCACAGGCCGAAGTGATTGAGAACGTAGGGAGGGGGGGGGGGG